GCCGCGCGCTGCCCTGCGCGTGCGGGGGGGGGGGCCCCGCATCCGGTGTGACCCGCAAGGCTGCAGATAAGGATGTCGGGGAGGACGGGGCACTTTTCCATCGGCGGCGAGGCGGGGCAATCCGCTCCAGCGTGGCAGCGATGCAGGGGCACTACAAAGTGAATTGGCCGGCATGCAGGATGGGGGGAGAAGGAAGGGGCGGCCGCGGGGGGGAGAGGAGGGCGAGAGGACAGGGCACACGCACTGGCACACGAGGGCGAGATGCTATGAACGGCGAGACCGCTTTGACCACCCTCATTTACAAGGAGACCTCGGCTCCAGGGCGGGGCCCGCAGTGCTCCAAGAAGAGGCCCCCCCGCTCGCGCGGCACGCAGCCGTAAGGGCGCTTCCGACAGGGACCGTGGAATTATGTCTGGTTCGTGTCGTGACGACGCGGGTGCTGGGTTCTGACACCGCGTAGATCGCTTTATCTCGATCGGTCTCGGTGATCCGACAACAGAAATCGTTCACAGTTGGCCTCTGTCAAACCGCTGGTGACCTTCACCTGTGAAGACCACCGCCAGCGTCGCCCCCCCTGTCGACGCGGCACGAACCTGCCTCACACTGCCCACCAAGACCTAAGGAACGAAGCAGCGGGGAGAGGGCGGAGAGGTGAAAGGGGGGAAGAATGCCTGCGGCGCGCCCCATGCACAGGAGTTGCCGCGCCCCCCGGCACGAACGAAGGGAGGGTGGAGACGGACGACAGTGAGGAAGGAATGAGGGGGATGAGGATGAGGACGAGGCGGAGGAGGAAGAGTCGATTTGTCCAGGAGTAGGGGGCTTCTCAGAAAGGACCGCCCCCCTTTTTGCACATGTCCACGAGCGCTTATCATGAGGCAAGGGAGCTTCTCAAGGCCGTGGCTTCTTGTCAAACGGCCGCCCCCCTCGCCCCGCGCCCTTCTGCGCGCCAGCCGGATATATCCACATAGTAGTCACTCCGCAGCCCAGCTCTCCCTCTGGACGTGCAGGGGTGCACGACGCTGGCGCAAACTGTTGAACAACGATTCTGAGGGCTCATCGTGCGGCTTCTTGCCCCTGGCACTCTTACGCCACCTTGGAGCATCCTGGCGCCATCTTTGGGCCGTCCTGAGGCCTTGTTTTGCCACCCTGAGGCTTCGCCGACCCCTCAACTCGTGCCGGTGGCAATGAGTCGGGCGTTGCTTAATGGAAGGTCGATAAACGGGAGGGCAAGAAACGTGTCGTGCAACTTTTGGGCCTCAGGGGGCCCCTTTTGGGCTCTGGAGGTGCACGAAAAGGAGCACCCTTCTTCACCTCCCCCGCTTTTCCGCCACCCCATTACGTAACGCCCGATGGCGGAGCGCCGACTTGCGTCTGGCGTCGGGCGCGCGACGGCGCTGGGCCGCCAGAGAGGCCGTCGCGGGGCCCACCTTCCCGAGGAACCAGCACCGGTCGTCGCAGAAGGCGGCGATCTGCGGGGCAAGGTGCGGTGTTGCCAAAAAGGTGTCCCTGGCCCAAGGTGTCACCAGGATGTCCTGGGAGACCCAGACATCCCCGAGAGCACCCCTCACGAGGCGTACGGTCGGGCTGCTGAACTAAGGAGCGATAAACAAGGAATGAAGCCTCTTCTTTTGGCACCAAGAGCGCCTGGGTGCACGAGGAGCGCTAGAGAAGCAGCCATGGAAACATTTTACAATAGACCCGCATAGGATGAACAACTTTCAAATACCCATACTCGGCCGCTTTCGCTGGCCGCGCCCCGCTTGCAAAAGGGTGGACATGGCCTCCCAAGGCCCTTGCGTCCTTACCGTGCGTCCTTGCTATACGGGTTGACCGTGAGGAACATCGAGCTCTTTCCGAATCCAAACTGTTCCATATTTCAGCGTCCCCAGGGACTCCAAACGGTGGTGGAAAAAAAGCTGGGGGTACCTCTTGGGCCAGGACGCCATCTGGCAACCAACTGGCGAGGGGTAGAGGGCGGGGTGCGGGCGCCGCGGGGTCGTCGTCGTTGTCGTTGTCGTCGTCGTCGTCGTCGTCGTCGTCGTCGTCGTCGTCATTGTCGTCGTCATCGTCGTCGTCGTCGTCGCCGCGGGGTGAGTAACATGATGAATTAGCTGACTGGTGGATGGTGAGGCCTATGATGGCTCGCACTTTGGTGTACAATCAACCCGTATAATGAGGACGCGCAGTAAGGATGCAAGGGCCTTGGAAGGCCATGCCGACACTTTGCGAGCGGGGCGCGGCCAGCGAAAGCGGCCAAGGATGGGCCGAAGGGGGAGGATGCAAGACCTCACTTTGGTGTGCTGGCTTGAGAAAGTGGGGGTACGTCTTGGACCCCTCCCTGCGGCCGACTTCGATGACCGAGGGGCCGCAGGGAGGTCCTCGGCCCCCTCCGGTGCCTATTGACGGCACGGTGTGTTGTTTTTTTGTTGGTGGAATGGTGGGAGAGGGTTGGCCCCAATCAGCCCCTATGATCGCAGCTGCGAGGGGTTTTGAGGCCTATGGGTCGTCACTGACGAAGCATCTGATGGTTCTCACCGGGGGAAGAGGCGGAGGGAGAAAGTGGAGGAGGGATGAGAGGGGGGAGGGGCACGCTAGGCGCGCTCATGCCATACCTGACATCCTGTCCCTCCTTCCCGTCCCTTCCCGTTGCGCCGATGTTTGCTTTATTCGCGGACGCGTGTCGTAGCCGACCTGGAACTCCAAGGAAGACCCTCTTGTGTTGTGCGCAGTCGGAAGAGGGGAGCTGCGCAAAGAGGAGGAGGAGGAAGAGGATGAGGAGGAGGAGGAGGAAGGAGGAGGAGGCGGTGGCGGGTGAGCAGGAGGATGAGCAGGATGAGGAGGAGGATGAGAAAGGACGACGAAGACGAATAGCAGCAGCAGGAACTGCAGTGGAAGGAGGGGTAGGAGCAGGAGGACCAGGGGAAGGCGGAGGAGAGGAAAAGAGGGGGGCGACAACTATGAAAAATAACTCGGATCTAAAACATGGCCCGCGCCGGGGCGAGAACGCCATCCTGAACGACGGGAGCACAGCGCCGATCCGAAAATGAGGCCCACGCTGCAACGAGAACACAATGTTTGTAGCACCAAAAACAATCAGATGGTACAACAATTATTCCGGCGAAGGACCCAACCATGTGCAGCTGTGTGTAACGCAGGTGTGGGTATCGTCCTCGGTGAACCTCCCTCTGGGGCCACGACGCGTGTGACGGGGGTGCCAAAATTGGCACGGGTACGCCATGCGGACGCTGCCACCGGAACCGTCGTTGCAGCCCCATTTGAGGCCACGAAACGTGTGAGGGGTGCGCGGAAATGCAGGGTGGAACCACGTGCGGGCGCTGCCACCAGGGCCTTTGGTGGCCGCGAAACGTGGAAACGGTGTGCCGAAATGGAGAGGGAACTGCATGCGGAACCTGCCACTGGGGCCCTGAGTGGAACACTCCATGGGGCCACGAAACGTGTGAGGGGTGCGCCGACATGGAGGGGGGACTGCATGCGGACCTGCCACGGGGCCTTGGGTGGAGCACCCTATGGGGCCGCGGAACGTGCGAGAGGTGCGCCGAAATGGAGGTGGAACTGCATGCGGACCCTGCCACTGGGGCCTTCGGCGGAGCACCCTATAGGACCACGAAACGTGTGGTGAGGGGTGCGAAGAAATGGGGATGGAACTCCCTGCGGACCATGCCACTGGGGCCTTCCGCGGAGCACCCTATGGGGCCACGAAACGTGTGAGAGGTGCGCGGCGGAACACCCAATGGGGCCACGAAACGTGTGAGGGGTGCGCCGAAATGGAAGTGGAACTGCATGCGGACCCTGCCCCTGGGGCCTTCGGTGGAGCACCCTATGGGACCACGAAACGTGTGAGGGGTGCGCCGAAATGGAGGTGAAACTGCATGCGGACCCTGCCGCTGGGGCCTTCGGTGGAGCTCCCTATGGGGCCACGAAACGTGTGATGGGGTGCTCCGAAATGGAGGTGGAACTGCATGCGGACCCTGCCACTGGGGCCTTAGGCGGAGCACCCTATGGGGCCACAAAACGTGTGAGGGGTGCGCCGAAATGGAGGTGGAACTGCATGCATACCCTGCCACTGGGGCCTTCGGTGGAGCACCCTATGAGACCACGAAACGTGTGAGGGGTGCGCCGAAATGGAGGTGGAACTGCATGCGGACCCTGCCGCTGGGGCCTTTGGCGGAGCACCCTATGGGGCCACGAAACGTGTGAGGGGTGCGCCGAAATGGAGGTGGAACTGCATGCGGACCCTGCCACTGGGGCCTTCGGTGGAGCACCCTATGGGGCCACGAAACGTGTGAGGGGTGCGCCGAAATGGAAGTGGAACTGCATGCGGACCCTGCCACTGGGGCCCGCATGCGGACAGCCTTCACCCTATGGGGCACGAAACGAAAGGGGTGCGCCGAAATGGAGGTGGTGCATGCGGACCCTGCCACTGGGGCCTTCGGTGGAGCACCCTATGGGCACGAAACGTGTGAGGGGTGCGCCGAAATGGGTGGAACTGCATGCGGACCCTGCCACTGGGGCCTTCGGTGGAGCACCTTATGGGACCACGAAACGTGTGAGGGGTGCGCCGAAATGGAGGTGGAACTGCATGCGGACCCTGCCGCTGGGGCCTTCGGTGGAGCACCTTATGGGACCACGAAACGTGTGAGGGGTTCGCCGAAATGGAGGTGGAACTGCATGCGGACCCTGCCGCTGGGGCCTTCGGTGGAGCTCCCTATGGAGCCACGAAGCGCTGTAATGGGTGGGTGAAACGCAGGGAGGCGGGAGGAGAGGGAGGAGGAGGGAGGAGGAGGGGGAGGAGGAGGAGAGGAGGAGGAGAAGGACGCGGGGCACCGTCTCTTCAAAACGAGGACCCAACACCACAGGATGGTTGGGAAAAAACCACACGGGAACAACAACTCGGCCCAATCCTCAGGACGCGGAGGGGGGGCCAAGGATCTTCCGGATAGGGCCAGGGAAGAGAGGAGACCAGTATTCACATGGTGTGTTGGTGATCGAGGGAAGGCGCCAGTGGCTGCGCGCTTCAGCAGGGCGTGGGTGAGGAGCTTCGCCGCTCCGACTGCGCATGAGCATCCTGCTGCCGTCGTCCCGTTGGCTTAGGTCGGGCATGTCCCCCTACAGGCGGATTTTGGATTAAAAATGGGAAATCATCAAAACATGTGCAACTTGGGTTCGAAACTAACAAACATCGTCCCCATATATGGACTATTTTCGAATATTCCTCCTGTAGAGTGACATGCCCGACTTGGGTTCGAAAATAAAAAGAAATCGTCCCCTCTATTAGTTGTGGACTATCTTTGAATATTCCTCCTGTAGAGGGACATGCCCGACTGAAAGCGTTGGCGTCGATCGCTGGACCGCCCACCTCGGCAGGCGGCGCCCGAGCACAGGGCGTGCTGCAGGACCGGCGAGAAGCCCATCTCGATAGCCTGGCTCTTGATGTTAAAGAGGCCCAAGGACACACAAATAAATACACACAACTCCCAGGATTCCCAATATTCTCACATATTTTCTGCGTTTTCGTCTTCCCCCCACTTCCCAAATTTCCCATATCTTCCTGGGAATCGACGATTCATTGTGTCTGTTCTTTTTCTCCCCCTCCCAAGATCTCCTGGTGGCTGATGAACTCGAACAGTCTGGAGAGGTCGACCGCCTGGGTGCTGGATGCCTGACCTGGCCTCCGCATGAAGGACGTCAACATGCTATGCTCGAGGCCAGCCTTCCCGCACGTCTTCCGAGCCGACCCCAGGTTGAAGGCCTCGTCAAACTTCTTCTCCCACTCCGCGACCGACAGCCAGCGGAGCTTGGACCAAACACGCGTCCAGATGCTGGGCAGCGCGCGATTGGCCGGGTACCCTGGGCAGGGACCTTGGGCTGACGACGGGCAGGAACAGTCTTCCAGGACAGCCAGGGACGCCTGCTGGCGTTGCCGCGGCAGCCGGCGCAGCTGCCCTGCATAGACACGGCGGCCTCGTCCGAGATCTGTCCTCGCCGTAGGGCACGTCGCCCAACTCATCCATGATGATGAGCGTGGGGGTCGTCCCCCACACCCTGATTCGAGCGACGAAAAGAAACGGGTCTTACGCGAGATGGCGTAGCGACCTTACGCCACGGCTTACGCGGGCCGCCAGCGAAGCAAGGTACATTCGAAGCGAGGGCGCTTACGCGAGACCTTACGCGCCAATGTCAGCGCAGTCGACCCCGTTTTTTTAACGTGGCCCATTGGCGTCTAGGGTGCTCTAAAAGAAGTCCCCGTCCAGGACCCTGGCAGGGTGACCTTATGGAGGGTCCAAGCCCGCGAGGCCCACTCCTCCCTTCTCATTGACGTTGACCAACAGCCAACAGTACACGTGCAGTGCCAACCGCTCGACTGCATGCCCGACCGCATGGATGTCCAACGCGGTCAGCGGCACTGAGGTGGGCAACTGCTCCTTCTCGACTGCAAACCCTTTGATGATGCGGCTCTACCCTTCAAGGTGACATCTGGCCCGCTTCGTGTCATTCTGGCGCGCTCTCAACGTGGCGGCTCTCCGACACGCTGCCGCGAGGCCTGCCCAGCTGCGCTACTCGGGCCCTGTGGCCTTGAGCGCGACCGCCTACCCTCGCACCATCCAGCGAAACCGTCTGGGCATGCAGCCCTTGGGAGCGTCCCGCGAGTCCTCTGACTTGGCGGCCCTCGAAACCGTGCGGCTGGACCGAGCAGTCCTCGACCAGGTCGGACCTCCTGCTCGTCCTGCTCTTCCTCCTTCTTTTCTTCTTCTTCCTCTTCTGCTTCTCGGCGCACGGCGGCGGCTCCTCCAGCTCCCACGCTCCGTCGGGGGCCTCTAGCTCAGAGGGTGCAGGCTGGTGCGGGGCAGCCGCAGCGGGAAACGCCCTGTGTATGCCGCCTTCGCGATGCAGGCCTCGCAGCCGGATGCAGACTGCGGGGTGTCGGCGAGGTCGGCGCCTCGCCATGCGCCCCACACGCTCCCGACCCTGTCGGCCAGAACCTGTGAGCAGACCGCAGAGTCAGGCTCCTCCCTGCCACAAGTGTTCGCCCACGGCCTGACCATCACTCCCGTCTCCTGTTTCGCCCAGCTGTACGCTGCTACCTGGTTTTGGATTGGACTACCACCCCGGGCCTCTCCCGCATCATCCAGTGGCACGACGTTGCTCATCGCCTTCGTGGTGCTCTTCTTCCTCCTGGGCGTCGACCTGGTCAAATGGCGCGTCCTCCTCTGCAGTGCTTGAGGCTGGTGTTCGCGATGCGCCGTCGACGGCAACACCTTCTCCTTCGCCCTCCAGGTCTCCGCCCCCGGTACCTGTCCGCGGCGTACCTGCTCCTGCACATCCACTTCGGCACCGCCTGCACCCTGGGCCCCGCCCGCTCTGGCCGCCTGAGGCCCCGCCTTCCTGTGCCCTGTCTCCCTAATTAAAGCTGTGCGCAGCCCGCCTAGCTTTTAGCGGAAGAGGTTCGCTCTCGCCCCGCAGATAAAAAATCCAGTTTCGCCCAGCTGGTCGGGTCTTTTTTTTGTACAGCTCGGCCAGGGTAATGCAATGACGTGAGCTCCCAGTGCGCCCCCTTGAGCACGACTGCCGCTTACGACGAAAAGAATGGCCGGTAGAACATCTACACTGTCCTTGCAATGCGGAAAAATAAATTAGCCAGCGTGGACAACAAACAGTGAGATCTTGCACAGAGGAGGTGACACCTATGCGGTGTGAACTTTGTGGTGAGAGCAATGCAGAGTAAAGAACGCAAACTGGGAGCCGTACGTGTGAGCACTGCCTGGGGAAAAACAAGACAGCCTGACAATACGCTCGCAGGCTGCGTCAGCTTACACTACAACTGTATGGAATGACTTTGGACCGAATTTGTAGTGCACCAACATTCCGAGATCATATGCAGGAATGAACAACTCGTTGTATCCGTCTCCATCAGTATCGGCAATCGCGATGCGGCCAACATCAGCGCCAAGAAATGCCAAGCGCTGTTTTGCGTAAGTCCAATCGTTGGGATCAGTTGGTGCCATTGGGACGAGAATATAAATGTCGTTCCCATTGTCACCAGAGACGAAAATACATGGCTTACCTTGATGGTCTTTCGTCGATATAAAGAATGGAATAGCATCGCCTGGCGAAGCTTGACCCGCTGATGTCGTTGCTGCACTAAATCCGGTGGCGAGGACATGCTTGTGAATCTGAGTTGCCTCATCCTTGAGATCCCCATCCCAAGAATATGCATAGACAGATCCGTTCTGGTTGAGATGGTTCGTTGCGATTATATCAAGCTTCCCATCACCGTTCAAATCGGACCACATACAGCCGAAACCAGGCCCTGACTGGTCGTCCACAACCCGACTCTTGTAGCCAGTGGCCTCTGAACCCGAGATAAACTGCACCCTCTTAGCAATGAACTCGGCAGCACATGCCTCGATCTGTGTAGCCTGCGTACCATCACTGGACAGACCAGCTGCTGCGGGTTTAAGAGAGAAGATGAAGTCAGGGCCATCTGCTATCTCGTGCTCCGCCCAAGGCTGGCCGCTAAGGGCGTCAGCTTTGGGCTGCTCGAGCCAAACGAATTTCCCTCGCTTGTCGTTCCAGGATTCCACGGAAAATTCTGCTCTGGATGTGACAATATCGAGGAGACCATCGCCATTCATGTCCACCAAAGATGCTTTATGGTAGAACCAGCCAGAGTCAGGCCTGAACGGTTTATTCATATCTTTAGTGATTTTCACTGGCTCCGTAAGGTGCACTGGCTCCTCCGATGCCTCCATGACCCAAATTCCACCGGTGGTGTGGCTTGGGACGAGGAAGCCGGCTCCAACAATGACAGCTTTGAAGCCGAATACTGTCTCGTCGACGATGGTTGCCTCATTGGGCCAGTCGATGTTAGTCGCCAGTGGTGCATGTGACTCTGCAGCAAGGTCCACGAGACTCACGAGCGACTTGCCGAAAAATGGCGCGGCCCCAAACTGCGTGAGCACAAGCTTACCTGGGAGGACATCTGAGATGAATGCGTATCCTGCATGGTCGAGTCCAGTGAGATTGCGCACCCATGACAACTCATAATTCGTGTTGACGATGTTAACTGTCTCTCCCACACCACGGCCGACTAAGGTGGAAAACAGGAGTACAAACCGAATATGTGCAGATACCATGTGGCTGCCAGTTGCTGCTGGGCACACAGAGTGACTCCACCGCAGACTCACTCGAGCCAAAAACGGCTTGAGCCAAAATGGCTACGGACGCCCAGCTGGTCGGGTCTTCGGGACCCAGGCTCCAGTTGACCGTCACGGCCCACGGCCAAGGGAGGCTCCCGGACCAAGCCACGAGGCACTCCAAGTATCCGACGTAGCCCACTGTGACCACAATGCTGTCCGCCAGGTGCACTGAGAATGCGTATATGGGGATGCCCAGCCGTGTGTCTTGAACTTCGCGGCTTCCACTTGGTACGACGGGGGCCCACCTTGCCCATCGGCCTTCCTTGACGCCAGCTTGGGGAGCCCCGCGCACCCAGGAGGAAGAGGACGAGTAGCAAGAGGGGGAATAATCGATGTACGCCACATGTTTTCGCGACGTATGCCGCCAGAGCTTTCGACCCACTCCCCAGGGCCAATGTATAATCCCTGGTCGGGTTTTGCCCGACCCTGGGTCTGAACTGGGCTTCCAGACACCCAAACTCAGAAAAACACAGCAGCCACCGCGATGTTTTGGATGCTGGAAGCCTGAGCTCAGAAGAGGAACGAGGACGGCGAGGAGGATCAGGAGGAGGATGAGGAGGTTGACGCTACAACCTGTCAGGGTGAAGCGTGGAAGGAGGAGGATGAGGATGAGGATGAGGAGGAGGAGGAGGAGGAGCGCACGTAGCACGGGGGCAACGTGTGACTTCTTACCGACTGGCGCCGATGACCAGCTTGACAACTCTCAATCGCCTCAGATGGGCACTGGGATCGCCAAGGCATGAGGGTGAGGCTTTATGCTCAGCCTTCAATTTTTGGTAAAACGGCGATTTCAACGATGGCCGTCGACACGCGACCATCTAGAGTCATCTTCCTCCTCAGGGTCGAGGCCGAAACGGGCGAGAAGACAGGCAATAATGAACATCCGAGGACGAGCGACGAGGAGATGGGGCGAAGACAAGGCACTGGCCATCGCTCGGACGTCCATTCCCCGTGCGCTTCTCGGCTTGCTGCGTTTATTTTCCCGCAAGGTGATCCAACATGCTCCTCCATGATCCTCGCCGAGAAAACACTGCACATGTCCAAGCGTTGCTAAGGGGATCTGAGGCCAACGAGCTAGAGCACCCTCACATCCCAACAGACACGCTCGCGGGCTCAGGACGGGCATTCTCCCAGAAGTCACCTACCCCCACACAAGGTCTTGATGTGCACCCGCGCTTAAGACGGCTGGGAGCGTGCCAGAAGAGCCCGAAGAGGAGCCCAGGAAAGGGCCATGGACCCAGATGATGATGATAACGATGACGACGACGATGACGATGACGATGCTGATGCTGATGATGATGATGATTCTGATGATGACGATGGTGATGACCATGATGATGCTGATCAGTCGTAGTAGTAGCAGTAGTAATAGTAGTCGTAGTAGTAGTAGTAGTAGTAGTAGTAGTAGTAGT